AGCATGGCTTTATACTTCTTTGTATAATTTTCAAGTGCTGCTCAGGCACTGTAAAGCTCAGGCACTGTTAAGTCAGTGTCAATCTCCTTGATGAGGAGGAGGGAGAATGGTAGTAGAGGAACTTGGATGAAATCTAAAGCTTAGATTTAATAAGCAGTTGTGGGGGGCAGTTACAGTAGAATACAGTGCTTTCCTCTATTAATGGTTTGTGAGGATCACCGCTTGCTATCTTTTAGAAATGCTTTCTGCAATAATTCCTTGTATAAAGTCACTACTGTGTTGTTTTTTGATATCTTGCATGCCTTTTAGGAAAAATTTTTAAATGTGCTTAAATGGCAGAAGTCCCTTACTCTGTGTACTTCAATGTAACCCCATTTTTAAAAATTTGAATGAAATGGAAAAACATTCTGTCAGTTTTTCCCTGCTGTTGACTGTGCCACTAAATTTAAATACTGAGCTCAGCTACAGATTTTACTTCCTTGACTCCATGTGAATATTTTTTCGATTTACTTTAGCTAGTTTAGAGTTGCAAAAGATAATCCAGGTATAAATAGCATCATATATATTGAAGACCTTGTAAATTTTGGCACCATGTATCAACTTACCAGTTCAAGACCAGCTATGATCAAAAATAGATCTTGGATCACTTGAGGCCCCATATATGAAGCTACAAGCTGTTAGGTTATATGACACTTCTGTTGTGACCTACTTGGTATTTGCTGAATTTTCCTTTGAAATGTCCTTTTTTTGGGATCACGGTACCATTCTAGGTTCTTTCTAGGCAATTTACTTGTTCTGCAAGCTACTTTGTCCTGAAGTGTGACACTCTCTCTCTGCCCCTCTGCCCTCTCTCTCTACCCCTACATTCACCTCTCTTCTCTTTTTTTATTTATTTTTTGCCTTTTTATTTCTAGAATCCTGAACTTAATGTGGTTTGTGTTTCAGCAGTATTTAGTTCTTTTTGGGAAGAGTCACTTTTTAGTGCAACATAGAACTATGTGTTTAGGGAGCAATCATCAAAATGGATCTAAGATACAAAAAGAAGACACATAGTTTTTAGGTATAATTCACCATTGTAACGTCTGATTTAGGCATGTGGTAGATGTTCTATCACCTAGTGTTATAGTTAAAACTGACTGTTTTTCTAATAGGTGCTTCCAGTTCTAAAAATGAAAAATTACTGGCTGAGTAATTTTTTCTTCAGTCAAGGGGACACTCAGTACTGTAGTGTATCACTCTGGGCTTAGTATCTGTGCAGGTGTTTATATAATTGGCCTTAGAAGTCTCAATATAAAATAAGAATATTTTACTCAGTTACGATGTGTTTTGCAAATTATCTCATTAGCTTAGTAAATGAAAAAGAATGATGAAATGAATATACTTTGGGGGAAGGAGCAGTTTGTTATGCTTTATATTAAAAGAAAAACCAAACATACTAAATACAAATAATTTAATGAACATATATTGATGCTGTTGTTTTTATACTTGGAAATCCTAGCTGCATTTTTTTCCTCTAGGATAACAGCAGAGGAGGAGAAATTTAAAAAGGAGTGGGAAGAAGACTGGGGTCCTAAAGAACCACCCAAGTCTCTAAAAACTGTAACTGCAGAAGTGCACTCTGCCCCTCGTTCCAAACACAAAAGTAAGTGATTGATTTCAACCTACCTCCTTGTATTTGTTTCAGACACATCACTGAGATGTATGGAATATATCACCAGTTTGTGTCCAAGCCAAGTTGGTTAGAGCATGGTTCTAATAACACCGAGGTTGTGGGTTCAGTCCCTGTGTGGGCCACTCACTTAAAGAGCTGGACTTGGTGATCCTTGTGGGTTCCTTCCAACTTAGAATATTCTGGGATTCTGTGACTTGATTATTTTCAGAAGGCTGGAAGCACACAGTAAATTAATTTAACAACTCTTATTTAAAAGGTATCTACCTTTCAAAATCTACATCTACTCTAATAGTCATGGTTATTAACCATCAGCAGCATAAGGCAAAATTAAAAAAAAAAGCTTACGAAGGAATTGTCTGAAGTGTAAACCTCTTAGCTTGGTGTGTTGTTTTCCATGTTGTTTCTGTTCAGTGTTTTGCCTGTCAACCTTTTCATAGTTTGGGTCAGAAGGGATCTTAAAGGTCATCCAGTTCCAATGCCCCTCCCATGGATGGGGGCACCTTCTACTACACCAGGTTGCTCAGAGACCAGTCCAACCTGGCCTTGAACACTTTCAGGGATGGGCATTCACAACTTCTCTGGGCAACCTGTTCCAGTGTCTTACCACCCTCCCAGTAAAAAAATTTCTTCTTATCTAATCTAAATCTATCCTCTTCTAGTTTAAAACCATTCCCCCTTGTCCTGTCACTATGTGCCCTTTAAAAAGTCGCTTTTCAGCTTTCTGGTAGCGACTTTTAGTTACTAGAAGGCTGCTCTAAGGTCTACCCAGAGCCTTCCCTTCTCCAGGCTGAACAATCCCTACTCTCTCAGCCTTTCCTCATAGTAGATGTGCTTCAGCCCTCTGATCATTTTTGTGGCCTCTCTGATGGACCTGCTCCAGCAGTTTTGCATCCTTCTTTTGTTGGAGACCCCAAAGTTGTATGCAGCACTCCAGGTGAGATCTCACAAGAGTGGAGTAGAGGGGGAGAATCAATTCCCTCAACCTGCTGGCCACGCTGCTTTAGATGCAGCCCAGGATAGGATTGGTTTCCTGGGTTGTGACCTCCCTTGTCCAGTTCATGTTGAGCTTCTTCCACATCCCCATCTCCACCAACACCCCTGAGTTCTTCTCAGGGATGCTCTCAGTCCTTTCTCCTCCCAGTCTGTGCTTGTGCTTGCATTGCCTCAACCCACATGCAGGACCTTGCAATTGGCCTTGTTGAACTTCATGAGGTTCACACAGGCCCACTTTTCCAGCCTGTCAAAGTCCCTCTGGATGGCATCCCTTCCCTCCAGCATGTGGACCTGAAAATTTATTTGGTATCAGTGGGCACTCTGCTTCAGAATTAGTTGAGAGACTGGGGAGATTCTGTTTGTACACTGCAGTTTTCCATGAAGAATTGCCCTGAAGTGTAAGTCCGACTCACTTGACTGGAGGAACTTCAGTCAGAGCATAGTTGGCAGTTAAGAAGCTACATGCAAATGTACAGAGAGTATGTAGTGAGTGTGCTGAAACTGTATTGTGAAAAACCCAACTGCTTGTTGCATTATTTACAGGAGACCTGGGCCTATTCCTAACGTGATTATGTTATTTTGTGTATGACTTTGGCAGTCACTTAACTTTTCATGTAAGAGAAACTGAGGTAGGGAATTGTTTCTTCTGCAACCATCTCCTACCCATTTAGCTTTCTGACTCTTCAGTACAGTATTTTCTCTGTGTAGCATTCACCCCAGTGACAGTGCAGTAAAAGGCTGATACTTCTCTTTGAAGCCACATATCCCAGAACTGCTGATGGTTCGGTTACAGGAAAAGCCGCCTACCTCTGCACCCACCTTCACCACAGAGCAGGCTAATAATCCACATGGAGATTCTAACTGTTCTTCAGGGTTGGAGAAGGTTGGAAAATGATTTGATTCAAGCAGGACCTTTTTTTTTCTTTTCTCTCCTCAATTACATAGAAAAATATCCTGTTACTAGCTATCCTGTTACTAACTATTTTTTTAATACCATGGAAACTTCTAGTCACACATTGCTGATCTCTTTCATTTCATGGGAACTTCCATTTAGGCTGTCGCTTCTGTCTCCTCACTCCTTTCCTCCTTTGTTTCTCTAGTAGATTTAGAGGGAGTTGACCAGCTTGAAACAGACGACTTGGATGAAGCAATGATGAAGCAGAACAAACAGGTTTGCCACTCAGCCTTAACTTCCTATCCTGATTCAGATTCTTCCTGTGTCTCACTTCCTCCTGACAGTCAGTCTTGACACTGAACTGACCATTTGGTTTTCCTAGGGTAAAATTCCTTTGGTAAAAGATTAAAGAATTTGATGCTGCTGCTGTCATTACTTTCTAAAGATACCTTGATATTATATCTAACAGTCCTACAGAAACGTGGATTATATTGTGAGCTCTGTGTGTTATCAGTGTTTTATATATAAAATTATGATAAGAGATTATTTTGTATGTTTTTAATTAGCAATATGTTTTGTATTATTTATGCACGTGGCTTGAAATATTTTGTCCTAGGAAATGAAGCTTTTCTTGTCTCCTTAAATGCCAGAGTCCTGCCACAAACTTGAAGGAGTTTGAATACCTATTTCATTTTAAGAGGGTTTATTAAAACTACTGTAAGGTGGCCATAGAAATCTTAGCCTTTATGTTTCTGTATGAAGGTTACTGGTTGCATTTGCTTTGTTTAACATAAAATGTGTATCATTAAAATAATGGAAACTTACAACTAAATGTAGTAGCACAATTTAACAACAAAATGACTAAGAACTTGTCATGTAATAGCAATCCTTTGGTGTTGAGCCTTCAAATAAATTTTAATGTTATGTGTGTCAACATGGATTGATCTGAATATGAACCAACCCTTGGCTCTTCTTCAAACAAACAACTTCTCCTTTACCTTTTTTAGCTTTTGGTTGGTTTTATCGGTATGAAGGAAAATTTCCCACCATCCGTAAGGTACAAAGTGTGATATGTAAATGGGTTTGCTGTGTGTTTGAATTTGAATTCCCCAATTTTCTTCTTCTCTGTCATTACTAAGCATTCTTTATAGTCAAATGCTTCTTCCTTTAACGTGTGCACAAATGAAGATGCGTTTGGATCGTGTGTGTCTAGGAGTTTGTCCTTTGGGGTGCTTTGGACTTTTGAGTTCTACCAGCTGCAGATGGAATTCTGTGTCAATACTTTGCAGAAGGTGTTCATTACAGGTAGGCAGTGCAAGTCCTCAAAATCACTTATATGAAAAACCCCAAGGAGTACAGAGAAAAAATGAAGTGGGAATCAAATACTCAGTTCCCAGTTAAACCTTTGCAAATTTCCTTGTACAAGTGCTGAAGGCAAAAGGCTGTTAGGCATGTGCATCACACAGAGTGAGCAAAAATACTTCAGCAGTCTTGAAGGTGATAGATTATTTTTCTGTCTCTAGAGATGCTGCTTAAGTATTGCAAATTCACTTTATCAGAGTTTCAAATAATAATTTGTTCTTGCTGTTGCTTTATTGTCTTTACTTCTTTCAGTGTGTATTAGCCATATTATGGGGGTTTGCTGTGGTGTTGTGTGCTTTGGTGATGGGGTTTTTTTGGTAATTAACTGTGCTAAAAGTGAAATGAAGATTTCTTGTGCCTATCTTCTGAGAACTCAAGTTTTCTGAGGAGACCGGGATTGTTTCTGATAGATGAAGTATTTGTGTCACCATTTTGGATTATTACTTTAACCTTCTGTGTGACCAGGATATGCCTGTTCTCCTTAATAAAGAATAGGAAAAGATGGTACACTCCAGTACCATTTTGTATTGCTAGTGACTGTAAATCACCATGGATCTGTAACCTATGTGAAAGCCAATGCAGTCAGGATTTTTATCTGAAAATTCTTGATGCGTGTTATGAAAACTCAGTCTCTTAGCACAAATGGGCGGCCTCTTGTATTGTTGCTGCAAATATAGCTTACAGAATGTAAAATTCCTTTCCATACAGTAATGAAGATCTTACACAATTACTGCTGAACTCTGACATACGAGAAACTTCAGAAGATGTATTTTTAATCTTTTGCTTTTAGAAATATTTCTAAATCTGGCAGTGATGAATTTTCATCCGACTCCAAATTGCTAATGATTTGTTTTGTTTTGTTTTAAAACCAAAATTTCACTCTGTACTAAAAATATCTTTAATAGGGAGTAAACTGAATCCATGGGGAAAATTGGTGGAAAGGATGAATCATCCTGTTGTATCTGAATGCAGTGATGGCAGCTAAGATTGTCTGATACATGTTCATCTTCTGAAAGACTTTGGCCTGTGTACTGCTTAGTGAGCCTTTGAGTTCAGTAATTTTTCAAATATTGGTACCTAGCAGGTTGATCTGCCTGATGTTACATTTAGTAGAGGATACTAAATGTATTTTCTAATTTTTTAGTGAATAATATCAACAGGAACAGAGGCTTCAAAAAGACTATGCAGATTTTCCCTTTGGTTGCACTCTACGTCTAGAATTTTGAAGTTGCTTTGTGCTATATTAGTTAACTCATCTGAGTAGATTTTATCCAGTGCTTGTAGGAGCTACACGGTCTTTGTGATGCACTGTTCTTCCTTGGAAGCAATTCAGTTTCTGCAATGATCTAAGCCTTTCCTTTATAATTCCTTTTTTCAGTTTTATTATGGGATGCAGTGCTGGTTTGAGGATATATGCATGAACCTGTTTTATGCATAGACTATCTACCTATACATGAGCATCTGTCACTTGAAAGCAATTAATCTTTATATATATATATATATATATGCCAAAACAGAGATTGCAAATCAAGACCCAGCCAAAACTCTTTGATTTATTCAAAGTTTTGTGGTTGTCCTGTGTGCCCTAAAGTTGTAACTTGCAGGGGAGACAAAAAGTTAAACTGTCTGATCTTGTCCAACTTATCTTAATGGGCAGAGACCCTCCAAAAAAGGTTGAATTTCCTGCAAGTTGCTGGGTAACTGGACTGTAGATTTTCTTTTAAAATACCATCCCCATACTTGCATCGATTGTAATTAAATATTCAGGGCAGGCACTCATGTACCAAGCTTGAAGTTTGTGGTGCTTTTAGTAAACAAATTTTGTAAAAAAAACTTCCCAGAAAGGGAAAGAACGAAAGAAGTCAAAAAGTGATAGCTTTTGTGAACAAAAGAAGAATAAGAAGGAAATGGAGTTTGAGCAAAAACTTGCCAAAGAGAAAGAAGGAATGTTGGAGAAAGAAAAACAACTGAAAATAAATCGTCTTGTGCAAGAGGTATGTTGTGATCTATCAAGTACAAAACTATCTTGAAAGAAAATGAGCTGGATCTTTAGTGGAATTGTCTTAGCAGGACACTTGTTTAATTAGGTCAAAGGCCATGAAGTTTAAGAAGCTGTTTGACAGCAAAACTCTATTCCCATGTTTACTTGTTTCTAGTCAGGTTTTGCTCAAACAAGGATAGCTCTCCAGCTACTGAAAAAGGGAAAACAGGAAATCATCCTCTAAAACATTATTGGTTTTAAAACTAGTTTAAGTGGCATTTCATGCTTGTGAAACATATTTGTATTGTGACCATATCTATAACCTTTTCTCATGCACTGCTATTACGGTTAAGGTATCTGAGACAGAAAGAGAGGACCTGGAAGAATCGGAAAAGGTGCAGCACTGGGTGGAAAGACTTTGTCAAACACGGTTAGAACAGATTTCCTCTGTGGAGAATGAGTCTCCTGAGGTAAAATTCTGGCTTTTCCATATATTGCATGATTTATAAACAACTCACTAGTTGTCTCCTAAAAGCAACAGGTTTTTACCAGCAAAAAATCTGTCTTTATCCTTCCCCCTCAGTCTTCATTCTAAGTGGGGGAAAAAAAAGTGATGAACTACCATCTATAGCACTTTCTGTTTCTGTATTTTATGAAGATTCAAACATTATTTTAATGAACTGGTTTTATTTTGTCTTTAAATATAATATCACCACAAAATTAAGTTTTATTGACTTGTGAGCTGTTTGGGCTAGGTGGGACGTGCTACCAATAACAAAACTGAGACTAGAATACCCAGCTATATTTATTAGTATCTTATGAAAATAAGAACATCATTGATGATGAGCTCTTGAATGCTTCCTTGTATTGCATGACATAGAGGTACAGGTTAAGAAAATTACAAAAAGATGAGAAACTCCCAAAACCTGGGGTTTAGGTATATGCTTTAAATAGTCCCCTTAAATTAGAGGAGTTGAAGATTGAGTGACTGTGCCTTAGAGCCTGACGGTTCTATATGTGGAGAGAGGCTTTCCCACCATCCTGCTGCTCTGGCTATTTTCCAAGTACATCTGCTTTCTACAGGAACTCTGCAATCTGCTGAACTCCTGTGGGATCCCCAAGAAATCGCAACCACAAAAGGGACCCTTGGGGAACACTCTCACATGAATTTCCTTCAGGTCAATGTGGAGCAGCTCTGAAAAAAAGCAGCTGATCTTCTGTTCTTCATGGCCTTAGGCTCAGATCCATGTGACCTTTCAGTGCAGGTCTTTAGGACACTGGAATGATTATGCTGAGTGTTCTCTTGATACCTAAACTTGGCTGCTTGTGTCCTGCTAGAACTTTGTCCCCTTTACCTTGTAAAGTAAGAAGGAACATTACAGATTACAAACACTGTTGTATTTTCAGAGCTCTACCCAGATTTAAGACAACCATTCTGTGTTGTATTCGCTCCATCAATTCCTCTATTACATTACATATAAATGCTCTATTACAAGTTTTCTTCAAAACTACCTGAGCAGTTAAACTCACATAAAATACCAAACCTGAGTGCTTCTGAGGGATAAATGCATCTGAACAATATTCAGGTACTGCAGGCATGAACTGCTTCTTTGGTGCAAGAGCAGTCAAGATCTCTTGAGCTCTACCAAAGGAATACCTATTTTTCAGTACCAGGGGTAATTGATTGAATTTTCTTGAATACTTCAGTTTGATCACTGATAAAAGAAATCTTAGCAACTCTAACAGCATACATAGAATCCTCCTTCATACACACAGCCTCATTTTTTGGGGTGAGCTGCTCATTGTGTTCAAACTCGAGTTTGTTAGCCCTGCAATAGATCTGGTATGCATTAATTATCCATATATTATAAGAGATCAAATATTTATAAAATATTATAAATTATAAGATCTCAACCCCTTTGAGGATTTGAATTTCACAGCACACTAAAATTTTGTTTTGATAGCTGCTTAAGTGTAGTTTCATTTCTTGTATTAATGTGTGGTTATGTTTACATGACATTAACCTCTTTCCCTTTTTTAATGGCATAGAATTACAGAGCCTGTGTTTGATTACTTTCCTTTCAGATAATAACCATTGCAAGCTGTAATTCTTGCTTTCTCTTCATGAGAGCTAGAGAGGCAAGAGTTGTGTTATCTGTGATTTGTCCTGTGATTTTTACCTTCTTTAGACTTCATACTATTGGGATCTTCCTGTTCAGGAGCAGTTAGACTGAGTGGTGTTCTAGGACTGGTCACTAATTTCTGCAGATCTGTTGCAGGCAGAACTGTTAAGGCAGATTTCTCCTCTGTTGCACATAGCTGGCAAGTGGACGTCCTTCTGCTTCTCCTTCTGCCACATCAATGCGGCGTTTTGCCGGTGGCCTGCAGCTCCACACCACAGATCTTGATGATATAAACTTAGATGAAGTCGACAAGCCTAAACAGCGTGCGCCGCCACCTCCTCCACCGCCACCCACTGTTACTCCAGCACCACCACCTCATCCACATCCTCCCTCAAACGTTCCACTCTCAAGAGGTCCAGCCCTGTCGGTAACACCGGCTGTCCAGGTGACCTCTGGATCTGTTTGGATGCATGCGCCCTTTCCATTTCCCTGCGTGCCTCCTGCCCCTGATCCATCACCCACCTTGTCCACCGGATCTACCCATCTGCCTTATGCAATGCTGCAAGAGGGAATGAGATGGTTTCATTGTTTGTTAGTAGCGAATGCAGTCCAGGGGTAGCTTTATTTTAACATTTTTTAAATTTAAGTCAAGAGGACTTTGCTGTCCTGCCTTCATACATTGTAACCCTATCACGTGCAGATGTCTTAGGCAGAATATGTAGGTTAAAAAAAGACAATTTGGCCTTGAATGTTTAAAGATTTAAAAAAAAAAAAAAGTGGCAGGCAGTGGATTTAATTCGTAGTTAAATTTGAGAAAAATATCCATGCAGTGAAAATTACTTAGGAAAATTTTTTAAATATGTCATCACATTGCTTTGTTAGGTGAGAAGAGTGGACAAGGAAAATTGGCTTAAAATCAGAAAGTCAAACTTATAAAAGGTCAAAACTGTTTAAATTACCAGTAAAATAAAGAAGCAAGAGTTGGTAATCTGGTTTGACTTGTTGAACACACAGGAGTTAGGGATGTCTTTGGGAAATTCTGTTACTTTCTCTTTATTACAATCGGAGTCCAAAAACGGATCAAATATATGAAATCTTGTGCCAGATCTCATCATAATTCCCTTTGCTAAGCTCTCTAGTGAGATTCATATACTTGTTTTTGTGGCAAAAATTCTTATTTATTTCAAAGAGCAGAAGATCCCATACAGTCCCTTCTTTGCTACACAGTTTTTGCATGGATTGACTGACTGTTTCTGGATTTTTTGCATGTTTACTGAATAATATTTGCATGATTCTGCTTGGGGTGGGGAAGGATATGCAAATTAACCACTGTTTGGAGGAAACTGATAGATGATTTTTTTATGTGAACTATGAATCTCTTGTAAGGTTAAGTGGACCTCTGATAGTGCTCAAAGTGGGTTTATATGTTTGAAGTGCCAAGGTGCTAGATCCACTGAGACAGAAATATCAAATATTCTTATGGATAACAGGTTTCCCAAGTTATTTGCAAAATAAAAATTTTGTGAAAGGAAACAAGTTTACAAAATAATATATTGAGATGAGAAATACACTCTTCTAAAGCTAATAGAAAATATTCAAATGGAAGAAGCAACATAAGAACTGCCATACTGGATCTGACCCCAAACCAATATATTCCAATATGTGCTTCTGGCAGCTTTTCCCTGTGAGATATGTTAGAGAAAACAAATTAATAATTAAGAAAAATAGATTAGGTAACAACAAATAACCTACCTTCAAAATTAATGTCAGTTTTGCCTCAATGTAGTTAATGTATATGAGGAAATATCTAGGCTCTTAGTAAAATATTAATACTGAGCCAAAGCTGCATTTTTTTAAGTAGATAACTCAGTATTCCTGATTTGGCTTTAGAAATGGAAGAAAAATTAGATGCCTGACAATTTATCCTTGCTATGTTTTACAAAGCCAGTTTTTAACATCAGAAATAAGCAGAAGCGGTGCATTTATGTGACTTCATGGATTAAAGATCTTGTGTTTGTGCCTGCTAAAGCCAAAAAATAAGACAGCTATAGTTGTCCCATAAGTTCTCTTGTCTAATATTACTCAAACTACTAAATCTGTGTTGCTACATTTTTGTTTTTTCCCTGGATCATTTGATTTCCAATTCAGTTCGATCAAATACCTGACAAAAGGAATAAAATCCTGTCAAATACGTTCTTGACAACCAACTATTAACATATCTGGTATAAATTGTCTTTTTCTCAAAATTATTATCAGCTTTACACTTTATATGAACCCAATACTAAGTCTGTTACTGTTTAGGTTGTAAGAAACACCTCCCACGTTGGCAAAGTATCTTCTGTGTCAAGCAATCCGCTGGTATGTCACCTACTGTTAATAATGACTGGAGTTTTATGAACTTGCCATGTAATGCTAATGTCAAGGAAGTGTCAAGGGTTTCTCTCTGCATGGCTAATTTATTTAAAATTCAACACACAGAATTATGTGTGGATCCATTGCTGTGTTGGAAGCTACCTAATACCAACTTGTGGAAGTGAATCCTAATGGTCCAAGGATTTCATATTTCAAGAGCTGAGCAAGATACAGTCCATGTTTGCATGTTCCAAATGTCTGTATGTCACAGAGCATGTAGTTTGCTCTTCTCTCAAGGCAAAAGGATCTAGGACAAATCTGTGGTTTAAATATAATGTGTCCTAAGAAGCAAGTTTCATCTCAGGAGGAGTAACATTTGTTTGATAGCTCTTTGCACCAGTTTTGAGTCAGGATGGCCAGATGTCAGGTTTCCCCTTTCTACACTCTAGAAAAATCTGTTGCTAAATTATGTGACTCTAGGAAAAATCATCCTGTTCCAGTGCAGCTTTAACAAGTTGGTATCTGTGAACCAGTTAATTTTGATTCTTCTAACATCAGAAAGCTTAACAACACGATATATTTTGCAGTGTGGAGCAACATTAGTTAAGGGATATCCACAGGGACTTTCAAATATCTGGTTTCAAACTTTTTTCCAAATTATTTAAAAAAGGATACAGGGGAAAAAACCACCACCAAAAAACCCTCTTCTATTAAAAAAAAGAAAGTTGCTTAGGCAATTTGCTGTAAGCAAGTAAATAATTTCAGAGGATACAGCTTGTACTATGTGAGTGATATCTGGAATACATCACATTTCCTATGAGAAACACTGAGAAAAGCGTGTTAAGAGTTGCTGGGGTTAAGTCAGAAGCTGAACCCACAGGGCTCAGTTTTGAACTCTTTTCTTGACTCTGCTTGACGTCAGTGGGAGTGTTGGCCGAGTGAGAAGTGTAGGATCGGGTAGTACGTGCGGAATGATTAGGTCTCAGATGCCTCTGGTATCTGTACTTCCTGGAGTCAGGGGCAGGTAATTAGTGTAACTAACCCTTGCCATTCAATCAAGATAACTTAAAATTCTTTGTGGAAAGCTGTTTGCTGCAGCCCTGGAGAATTTTATCTTAAAAAAAAACTATTTAGCCATGGATTAGTTAAAATCTTATTTTGGGTTCATTGTGTTCTTGCACTGAACTTTAGCAGGTTTTTTTTTTTTCCTGTAGCTTCTCACTCAGTTCGTTGCCTTTATAGGAAAAATACCAAAAGCAGGGCTGAGATTTTTTCCCTTATCTTGCTGGTGAAGCCAGAATTTAGGAGAAAAGCTACTATTTGAATGCAAGAGAAATTATATTTTGGTTTGTTGACTTCGTGAGCCTTAGTTAAAATAATTCTGTAATCTTTTTCTTGTATTAGTGTCACTAAATTCGTTATGATAAACTGTTTGAATTGAGGCATCTTGATAAAGTGATGGATTTGCACAAATTACATTGTGAACTGTAATTTTCTTAAATTAACTCCATAGCAACTTGCTCCAAGTCCACCTACCCAACGTCATCCAGGGGTACCAATAGTCTCTAAACCAGTTATGCTGCAGCCTGACCCAAACTTTATTGTCAGGCCAACAATCAAATCAGAGGCCCTGGTAAGCCCTTTGATATTCTTTTTCTGAGTGCTCCAGTACTTTGGGGGGTGTTTTTGACTTGTCCTGAAAGAATCCATGTTTGTCTCATTTCCTGCTAACTAAAATTCATGTATTTTCAAATGATCAGTAATGGTAAGTACAAGAGAGTATTTTTCCATATTTTTGCCATTATCTAAAAGCCACTTTTAGTGACAATTTTTGTACAAGGGTGCATAATTCCAGGGCAGTGTATAGCCTTACAATTTTTACATCTTGTATTTCATTTATTCATATGCTTGTTTATATTTTTTATGAATTCTGAATCCATTTGTCAAAAATGAAGTAATAAAAATTAATTAAACTGTATTCTTCCTTTGTAAATAGTCATGAACACACCTGAAATGTAGGTAAATACCTCATTATATCATTTATTGTCATATACATACACAGATATAATCCTTGCATATCTTTTCATTTCCTGATAAAAAAGTGTGTTGTTATATCAGACTCTAATATACTTAATTTTCTTATTTAATTTCCTTTTCTGTTTCAAATGTAAATGAAGAAAAAATTCAGACGTTAAACATTTTAGAACCAACCATGTTTCATCTCTTGGGAACTGCAGTATATGAGGGAGGGTGAACCAAGGCTTACTGAACACACACACAAAAAAAAAGATAAATACTGCTCTGACAGGTGATAACTCGCAACTGATAGCCCTTAAAATTCACCTAAAATACCTGGCGGACCAATTAATAGTATTTATTCTTGATATTCATCATGACTTATGCTGTTTGCATAAGGAATTGTGTGTTTGTTACATGCATGTGTGTGGACATGCCTGTATATATATGTTTATATGAGTAAAACAGTAAGTGATGAAAAAACATCACATTTGCCTTTTATTTATTAAATTAGAAGCTTCTGCCATTTTATTAGAAGCTTCTGCTGTTGTCATTTATTCTGACAATAAATAATGTGCACAACATTCCTAGATGTGTCTCATTAAAGCATAATGGATCTTTTGTCATTTTTTGCTTTAATAATTTGGATACTCTTGTTCCTTTATTTTCCCAGTTACACTTTGAAAAAATTTGTGATATATAGTAACTTTTTTTCCCACAACCATATCCATCTTGAAACTTCTATATTATAAATGGATTGAATGACAAATGAAAGAAGTTTTTATAAGTTGCTTAAGAGAAGGCAGGTACGTGTGCTAAAAAGAAATTCATATCCCTCCAGTGTAATGTTTCCTTCAGTGGAAGCTCTCATTTTGTTTGTGTTCAGTAATTCAGCATCTCTAAGCAATATGAAATTCCTCAGGGGAGGAATGAACAGAGTGAAGTCATAATCTGCAGTTAATCTAATCTAGCTCTTGAAAAAAATGTGCATATGTGAGTTACTTTGCAGAATTGATAATGAACTTACATGTGACCAAACAGTTGTGGTACAAATTCTAAAAGGTACTCTTTTAATTATTATTTTGTTACTGACTACTTACAATTAGTCTAAGAAACTGGCAATAAGATCCACTTCTACAGGGAAATGCCTTATGATTTGTTATGCATGCGGGCACATTTTCCAAATCACAAGTCTGCTGAAATCTTTCAGATGCCAATCATCTTCATTCCCAAACTGCCTTATATCAGTTGGAAGATTCAAATTTCAGTGGGAGTAATATTCTAATAGGACTCTGAGAGAAAGAGCAGTCTATAAATTAGTTTTGTAGACTTGATACCTCTTATTTCCATTTATGATTTACTGCAGGGAAGGGTATTCATCCTCACTGCAATGAAGTCGCAGTTATACGTGAAGAAAAATTTGCACAAATACCAAAGAGGGAAGCTACTTTCGTTAGTTAAAAAAAGAAAACGCCAGTGTACGACAAAACAAACAAGACAGTACCTGCCTTTCTCCAGAAGTGTATATGAATTATAATAAGATTTCATGCAGAAGAAGTGGATTTTGATTGATTGGGAGTGTGTGTGTGGGGGAGTCCTTATTTAATTTCATGGTGCCAGTACAGGAGCAGTTCAGCTTCTCTTAGCAGAGGAAAGTGTCACCAAAGACAAAATATCATTTGCTACCCTGTTTCTTGTCTTGCTAGATTTCACACACCTTATGGAACTGCAGCTGTTATGTCATATTAAGATATAATGCATATAGCTTCTTCTACCTTGTTTTTACCTGAATTTAACTGTCCTGAGCACCAAACTCTAGAAACTCATCCTGATTTGAGCAGCTAATCAAGTTGGCCTGTTCTCAAGAAAATTACTAGTAAAGAGGATGAAGGAACATTCACTTTAGAATAAAATAGACATGCAAGAATGGGTAAAATATTCCTGTTTTCTGGAAGGTAGGGGTGCCAGATAGTCTGTTGTGACTTAAGTCGTCTTATGAACTAAATTTAGGTCAGAATTCCCAGATCTTTTAACAGTTGATGGAAATGAAATTGTTCTCATAAATAGGGAAATTATTAAAGGTGATTAAAACTTGAGTGTGGCCTTGAATGCTGAGGGCTGCTCTGGATCAAAATCAGTGTGAACTGTTTGTCTCTGCTGTACTAAAGTGAACTGGAATACGCTCGTGGCAGAGCTAATTAAATTTTGGCTCAGAGAAAAGGAGAGAATTGGTATGATTTAGTGGTTGGGTTTTCAGAGAAGCAAAACCAACATGAACATTAGTCTCTGCTCTCCCATCTATCACAAACATGTTGTTGTGTGAGTTAGAAGGCTTTGATGCACCTGCTGCTACTGAAGATTTTTCTTCCCTTGCTCCTTTGGGGTTGGATGCAGCATTTTTGAAAGGAAAAAAATAATATTTAAGCTTTCCTCTAATTTGCAAGATTTGAAGCCTGGTTTTGCTGGACTGCAGTCAACACAGGTGCTTAGATACTGTGACAAGATGTGTGAGGACTGGAAATTTCAATTATTATTTGTTGTAGCTATACCAAAACAATCTGTGTTGAAAATAAATTATTTTTTTAGAGGGGATCTAAAGAGAAAATCTTTCCAAACTATCCTACAAATCCTTCAGGACAAAAACTCAGTCTTTGTATTAATTAAATACAAACCACAACATTTTCATTAACTCTGGAATATGTTTTTCTTAGGAATGGTATGACTACAGGACACTGAATCAGTAGTGAAACTGATATATAGTAATTTTTTTAAAAACAAATTGAGTTTGGAAGTATAAATTATGCCATAGTTTAGTCTATAGAAAGCTCTTCTTGTTTCAGAACACTTAAATATGTTACCTAATTTGCTGCAGGATTTTGAATGGAGGCTGGAGAGGTGTGAGGAGTGTTTTGTATAATTATTTGGGGGTTTAGCCCACTTCCTTTTTGAAAATATTTAGAACCTGAGAAGAAATTCTTTATTTTAAGTGACTCTGAACTACAGTGTACTATTTTGTTAAAGTAGTGGAATTGAAAGAAAACAGAATGAATATGGGATTAAAATCCTTGAAGCCAAACACAATAAAACAAAATTAATCAGTTATTAATTGATATAGTGAAACTACTTGTAGATACCCTCATTGAAGCAAGAAAATAGAAATAATTCAGTTCCATTCTGGAGGAGTTTTTCTTTAAGTAGAATAAACCTATACTAGTGATTGGTATTTAGGTAATTCTTTCTTTCAGGATGAGCCCAAATACACATATCTCTTCTTTCAGCTTATCAGATTCATAAGGAATTTAATAATGGAATTCACTTTTTCAGTATAGGAAATCCCTGGTAGCAAAGCAAATCTTAAATGCATAAATATGTATTTCTCATGGCTTTTCAATATTTTGGAAATTACTTGTCTAGCTTTTTTTTTCTGTATTTTGGGTTGGGGGTTTTTTCAATTATTTTTTCACAAATCATGGATAGGGAACCAAAGCACTATTTTGCAGAAATGAGGTGTAAAAGGAGTCATGGAAAATATTTTTAAGAAATTTTGTGGTATGGAAATGTGCATTATTTATGTAGTTTCTCTAGAGTTCTTTCCACTTTGTATACAGTACTATTTCACTGTGTGTGTTCTCTCATTTTGAAATGACACAGGGAACAAGCACTAACAAGTGCAAGTGTGGTTCAGTCTCTGGAAGAGCAAAATAAGCAGTGAGATAATTTATGAGTAGGTGATACTTATTTACAGCAAGAAGTTAACACCTGGTTTGGCGATTTTCTTTCTTTTGCAGCCACAAGAGATGTTTAAAAGGATGGTGGTTTACAATTCATCATTTAGATCTAACAAAAAACAAGTAAAATAACATTTTCCATGTTTTGTGTGGTACTTCTTGTTTTGACTGATCATAGATTTAAAACTTTCTTTTCTAATCCTGTTGCTCAGTTTCTAAAACAGAAGATGCAAGACAACCCTAGTGCATGAGAACTACTAGTCTTTGTAAGCTTTGTGTGTGCCTGTGGCTCCTTCTAGTCTAGACAGATGAAGAATGAGAGGATAGTAATTCCTTTAGGTTGAATCATCTGTAACTACTTACATGGTTAAGTGCAACCTGTAAAATAGTTGAACACTTAAAACTGATATTATACTGGCAAATTTTTTTAATATTCCTAAGGTTTTCTTGTTTCTGTTAGTGTCCAGCTGCAATGCTTTCAGTAATAAAATATTTTATTAGTTTAACAAATACAGCTATTATAGCATAGTTATTGGTAGGAAATCAGTGGAAAGCACTTACTCATTCAGGCTTCCTGTGTTGTGTAGGATCTTCTCACTGTATTATTACTTTTGTTGCTTTCCTCTGTCATAGTGATGAAGTTTTCATCTCTTCCTCTTTGCTTGACTGGTGCTTCAGTAGATGGTTGCTTGAAGAAGTGAACTTCATGCTTAACTTCTTTGCTGCTGTAAAGTGTGCCAGTTTCTGTGCAGAACACCTTTGTAAGTGCAAGCTAAGTTAGAGGCATTGCCATGTTATATGGAAAGGTTGGTATAGACAATTAAGATTAATAGTGACTTTTTTCTTCTTTGATCAATTTCAGTCTAGAAGAGAAACTGGATTTGACTGAGAAAAATCTAACTTTGAGATTATTCACTTTCCATTGAATGTCAATATATTCTGAATATATAACAGTTGTGTTCTCAACAAATGTGGTTTCTGTAAAATTTTATTATATCTGGTTATGAGTTTCAATTCTTTTGTTTACTTCAATCAGGTCTCAATTGCTCTTGACTATTGATGCTGGAACCCAGTGAGCAGTACCATTGGTTTAGGTCTTTGTGTTTTGGGTTTCCAGGGTTGATTTTTCTTATAAATAACTTTACCTTTCATCTGCAAGTCCAGACAGAGAGTCATTTCAGAGCAATCAAACATTTTAATGTTCTGGATTTAACTTATGTTCAGTCCTGTGAATTTTATTCTAAGTCAGGAAGGAATTAGAATGATCTTAACTCTTTCACCTGAAATGTCCTGGAGTGGGAGGGTAGGCTTAGGACTGCGACTTCACCCAGTGTTGCTCAGTTCATTAGTCCCTGCTTGGATATTGAGTCCACTCTCTGCTTCCTGAGTTTGTAATGCCCATTTCAGAGAATATTTATTGCAGTTCAGTGGATGTCTTCATTCTACCTTACCTCTACTTGTACATTATTGGATCCAGACCATATCTCTGATACATAGAGATATGAACCCAAAAGGACAACATGAAAGCTGTGTCAGGGTGGCTTAGACTGTTTAGATTGTAGGCTCTTCACCCAGAAGGTGGTTGGGCACTGGAACACGCTCCCCAGGGAAGTGGTCGTGGCACCAAGACTCTTGAGTTCAAGAAGTGTCTGGACAATGCTCTCAGGCACATGGTGTGACTTTTGGGGTTCTCCTGTGCAGGGCCAGGAGTTGGACTTGATGACCCCTGTGAGTCCCTTCCAACTCAGGATATTCTGTGTTTCTATGACTTTGCTTATAGGGTTTTTTTGTTGTGGGGTTTTGTGTGTTTGGTTGGTTTTTGGGGTTTTTTCCCTTGTTAAAAATTGTTTTCCCAGGAAAACTTTCTTCAAGGGCAACATCTGCTTTTCATGAGGCCAACCTGGGACAAAGAGTTCACTGACTTCCTTTAGATTACATAATGACTTAGTGACTTGGCTGAGACTGGAGTTCTTTTCTCCAAGTTGCTTGCTACAAGACCATAGATGTCTACTTCAGCCATGATTCCAAAGGGCAGTACAAATTTAGTTATTCAAAGTATTAGTTTTTAAGTTGCTATCATTGTAAATTGTTTCTCTTACAGTTTTAGTTTAACTGTTCATAATATTAATACACTTTGTAAATGAATGAATGGTTGGGGTTTTTCCCCCAGGACAAAATTCTACCCTTGCTGATGTCTGTGATGAAATTTCCATTTGTTTTTAGTTCCTCAAAGTTAGCAGTTAACAAATGTAGTGCAATCCATAATTTAAATGCTAAATATCATCTTTCATGTTCCTATTCCCAAAAGATTAATACATATTTCCCTATGGAAAAAAAAATTACTTGTGGCAGTAAGCAAAAGCTCTGCAGTTGTGCAGAGTTAGAGAGAGAGGCAGCCTGAGGAAATTCAGGATCCAAGCTGTACAATTCAGTGTGTCTGTGTGGAATGATTGCCAGGCCACACAACAGTCATCACCACCTCTGTTGTGTCATCTCTTTAAGTGTGGTGAGAAAAAGTGGCAGCACTTTTGTACATGTGAAGTTCTGTGATGCAGACCTGTGAGTAGCTCCTTGACTTTGTGAGACAGAGCTGGTAAGGATGAGATCAGATCCCAGAGGATCATTGACAGTCACATCAAAATTAGGCAACTGAGAGAGCTGACAGAGTATATAGCACATGAGGCATTAGTGTTTTCTGCTGCAGCTTTGCCATTTAACAGCCAGCCCTTAAACATACCAGAGGGACCTTAAGCTGTGCATTTCGTTTACAAGCTGAAAAAGGCTTAGCCGAGTCTGAAAGTGGAATAGACTTTGTCATCAAATGGATCCAGTAGAAAAGAGGACAATAATGAAAATGTGAAGCTTGACCACACACTGGATTGCCCATCTGTGTCAGATATTGGCTTGCCTGCCATGTCAACAAAGGGCTGTGGGGTTCTGTGTTGTTTCTGTGCCCCCAGGTTATTGGAGCTTGAGGCCACAAGAGTGATACAGCATCTAAATGCCTCAGTAAAGATTTCTGTTAAATCCCAAAGTGCTTACTTTAACAAGCATGATAAGTGCAGAGCTTTTATAAATGTCCAACCCTGGCCATACAGTCTCACCCCTGTAGCTACTAATCCTCCTCAAAAAAACACCACTCAAATATCCTTGATTCCTGATTGCTGATGCAGAAGCTCCCATCCTTGCAGAAAAGATAACTCCTGCTTTTCCCTGCAGTCTTGGTCTGACAAGGGTTAAGCACTAGGTTTTTTGGGTCCTCTCAAAACTTAAATCTTTCTCTGCCTAACTGCAATATCATCTTCTGCATTTCAGACACTCCCTGACAAAACTTAAGTCATCCATAGAACCATATGAAAACAAAAAATGGTGGTTGTTCTGCATTTGCTTGTGGTATGGAGCCAAATCCCTGAAACTCCATGGCAAGGAGGAGAGAAGGGGCCTGAAAAAGAGTCCTAAAACCCAGACAGCAGGGAGTAGTGTTGCTCACAGCTGAATTGGAGCCTGTAATTTCTACCTGTTAGAATCCAACATGATGATAATCCCAAGAAATGTTGCTCAGAAGACTGTGACAGAACATACCTGCCCATGATGCTTTCAAGATTTGTTTCTGTTTGTTAGGTGTAGAGAGGAACTGTGGAGCTGACAGAGTGGTAAACTCTTCCTCAGAACTGCTGTGTAGAATGACCAGCTCAAACTGTTGATCTGTCATAAGGTTTTGAAACGTCTTCTGACTGTCAGGATGGACTCTTTGCTGTCTTTCTGTACTTTTCTCCATTTACTGTCTTCTTTCATAGCTTACAGAATTATATGTCTCTCACTAATAAATAAATGGAGTTTGTTTGTTAAGTGTGTACAGGAGTCAGATGTTTTTACAATTAAATATTGTTTCATTCTCAGGGCTTCCAGAAGTACGTGGAAGATTTTGATCCATATTCAATGGTAAGGAGAGAATTCAAATATGCTTCACTGTTTTATATGAAATACACTGGAAAAAGGCAAATCCTTGATTTTGAGGGCTAAGAGGGGATAAGATGCTTGCTTGTTGGCTTGCTGGGCCTTGTGTATTTGTGTCTTCTAGTCATGTTGAAAAGGAGTCTTCAACACAGGAAAAGATGATATGGTGTTCTGATCTTCCTGTAACACTGTTTTAGAGGAGGGAAACGTCACTTTTCTCCCAGGAACTACACAGATCAGCATAATTGTTTGGTGTTTTCAAAGTGGAAATGACTAATGATTATATCTTTTCATAGTTCACCCCAGAGCAGATTATGGGAAAAGATGTACGGCTATTACGAATTAAAAAGGTAAATAATGTATTGTTTTATTGATATTTAAAGGGTTCACGTAAGTGTTTGATGTACAGTATCATTTACTGGAAAGAAGGAAAGATTAAGCTCCTGTTAATGGCAAAAATTAAAAGGCCTTTCTGAACTAAAACTTTTTTCACAGGAAGGATCTTTGGACCTTGCAGTCGAGGGAGGAATTGATTCTCCAATTGGAAAGATAGTTGTGTCTGCCATCTATGAAGATGGTGCTGCAGACAAACATGGTGAGCAACAATGGGGAATTTGAATGCTGCTGCAAAGTGGCTCCTTACACTGGCTAAGAGTTGTTGGCTGACTTCATAGCTATGCCTAGTATTGAAAGGCACACTGAGATTGTCCAAGGAGCCAAGTTCTGTCTCAGCCCAAAGGGCACCCCAGAGACAAGTTCATGGTTTCAAGAGCTCTACTTAATAATTATGTAAAATTTCTAAAAAACAACACCTGATTCTCTGGTGTATTCTGTTAAGCAAGGAATATGGTCTCCATTATTTCACAATTTCCAAGCAATGACATATGCAGTACTTCCATGTGCAAAGTAATTAGCTGACCATGGCTACACTATACTATTGAGTTTTATTCTTAATGTTACTTTCACTAGTCATTTGTCTTGTAAAACAGCTGGCTGCACTCCCAAAACCTGACTAAAGGCTAGAGCCTTCTGGCTCACAGCAACTTAGCTCTCTGGAAGGCTCAAGAACGTGCCCACCATTGCATCTAGGCTTTACTGCTGGTGGGAAGTACCTCTCATCCTTTCCTTGAGAACTCTTGCGATGATCAGGTAGACAGGACAACATCCCCTTGCATCACTGACCTTGTCCCAGCCTGCACCTAAGTTCAAGTCACTTACTTGTGAAAACATCTCAGCCACTTGATCTCCTAAGTACTCTGTTTGGCCTTGTTTGGCTTTGACCCTTCACTGTTTTTAGGATCTCTCATATAGGGCTGTCCCCTGGTCATCTGTGTTTTCTCGGCTTCAAATCCAGCCCCAGTTAGCTGATTGTGCTTCATTCCAGATTAGCAAATCAAAACCAGTTCGAAGTACTAAACATTACACATACACTTGGAAAGGAATGACAGACCTGCAAACACTTGACAAATGCCACTTCATGCCTTCAGTAATTTAATTCATTGAAGTATTTTTATAGAATCATAGAATGGCCTGGGTTGGAAGGGATCTTAAAGATCATCTAGTTCCAAGTCCTCTGCCAGGGAGAGGGACACCTTTTGCTAGACCAGGTTGCTCAAAAACCCCATCCAGCCTGACCTTGAACCCTTCCAGAGATGGGGCAGAGTAGTAACAGCCTACAGTCTGTTGCAGTTTGTAAATTGTAAAACTGGATTACCCAAACAGACGAACTGCTACTTTGGAAAAATCTTATTGAAGTAGTTTCTTACTGGTCATTACCAATAAGAGATTAGTTTGGTTTTGCCATGCCTAAAA